ACACGAGAGCACTAAACAAATTTAACTTAAATTACAAGATGAGCATATAGTACAGCCAAACAGAAGAACCTCTTGTAGCAACTAAGCCTAAATACTAACCTTCCAATTGCAGATCACCTATCACTTTTTCCCTGTTGTCTAGGGGATTTACAGAAGAAAAGAAAAAAAAAGTCATACACACAGCTACCACAAGAAAAACCACAACCAGGCCACACTGGGGCATGGCGTTTAGGTTACGGCTTCTAAGAAACTGCAGTTTACATGTCTGCAAAATAATTTTTTTCTGTCAACATCTGATGTTGCACAATAAAATGTTCTTAGGCATAACTGCATGACTCCTTCTGGGCTCTGCTGCTTCACACCAAGTTAGCATCATGAGAATGCCTGACAAAGACACTGAAACAGGAGGTATCACCAAGCCACAGAGCATCCAATATTCTCCTCCTCACATACGCACAGACTTCCAACATAAATCTAACATTTTCTTACTATTTACAAAACCACGCAAAACGTAGTGGCAGGAACAAATTAACCTACCACCACCATCTTTTTGTGGTTAAAACCACCACATTTTATTTCTCTTGGAACAGATTCCTGTTTCACACCATATGCTAATTAAAAAAATACAACAGCATCTTAAAATCTGAGCTTTTATTTGCTAATAGTAACATTAAGCACCACGATTCTTTTGAATACAAAAACATCACATATATTGACAGTTACCATTTTATTTTTTAAATATGCTATTGTTACCTAGTAACAATGGTAAATACCAAGGAACCAAGAGTCAATTATACCACCACAGCTGTTTAAAATTATTTGATATAGCACTCTGAAACAACATAGGATCCCTTATCCTAGATACTTTGCAGTGTGCTTAGCAAATAACTTACTTTGCAATAAGCCTGGATGATCAACGTAACAAGCAAACTGCTAGTTTAGGGAAAAAAAAATCTTACTTATTAACTGGATGAAGAGTGGAAGTAAGTGGAAGCACTTGGAGGAGGCAGGGAAAGTCTCTCCTCACAAGCCTTAGTATTTTCTGAGCTGCAAAACTAAATCCCTGTTTGAAATAAACAGTATTCACTAGTCTATTACCACCGATTCGGCACTGGCTGTTAAATCATCTTTATACAAAAATATGCACAAAATTGTAAAGTGGTGGTGTGTAAAAAGAAGTTAAACTTCCCACTGTAAGCCTGCTACACAGTCATTTTTCTTGGCTGCTGCATCTCACCTCTTTATAACAAAGAGCTGCTGAAGGTCGTAATGGAGGTGCAGGCCGTAAGCAGCTCAGACTCCAAGGCTTGGGGGTTTTTGGAGGTTCCAGAGGTCCCCAGTTTATCGTGGTATGTGGAGTCCCATGATGCGACGGATGAGGGAGAGTGTGGTACGCAGGAGTCAGTGGTATCGGCTTGCTGTCTGAATGCTTGCTGGAGGGTGTAACTGGATGGGAAGGAAGCTGTCAAAGACACAAAGGTCATTGGAAGGAAAAGAAAGCATATTATTGTAATACACATAATATCAAGGATTGGTGAAACAATCTCACTTGCTATCTAGTGCTTCTGTTTATTACAGATGGCCTTTGAAAATTTTTATGCTAAGTTATTATTTGGAAAAATAGAGCTTAAAGAAATTTTTACTGTCTACCACAGACAGAGCACATACTAAAAGAACAGCTACAAGCAGCTCTGCTGCTGCTTCTCTCACCACTAAGGATGGAGCTAAATTTAGATCCCTTGATATCCAACTGAAATGTAGAACCCAAAAGAAAGTACTTGAGGAAACTGTTTCTCCACAGCCTGTCAAGTACCTCACCGATTAAAACCTACTATTCTAAAGATACTTAAAAGGTGGTGATGTATTACTTGGTCAAAACAGAATAAGTAATGATAATGAGTTTTCCTTTACCCCATTAAACCATTACACCAAGATCTAAGCATTTTATTCTTTGTTCACACAATTAAAAACAGAACAATCTTTTGACCCATTAAACTACAATCACAACATTCAGTTCTTGTTACTAATGGCTAAAAAAATGCTTTACATGGCGGTATATTTGCCAGATAACCTATTTCTGCATACACGGCTCATTCACTTCAATTCAGCAGCTCTTTCTTACCGTGTGAGATGGCACAGAGTGTGGTTTAACGGTGGGATTCCCAACAGTTGTGACTTTGGTTTGCTTCTGCAGGTGATCCACCCATTCATGCAAATCTTGTTGGTTGTTACAAGACACTAGTATCCTTTCAATCATATTTCCTAGGTGACAGAAAACAGAAGATGTAGGAAACCACAGAAGAACAGCTTAGTCAATCTGACATGATTATAAAGGCACTCATTTCCCAAAACATTATATCCCCCAAATACTAAGCAAAAATTTTAACCTGTATTTTCAGTACAACAGCATCTCACTTTTCCAGGTTTTAACAGACATTTCATCCATGTCTTCGTTCTTGTGCCAAGTACAGGAGTTCTACTTTTTTTCCCCCCTCCTCTAATAATCAAACACAACGTTTCACGACAAGAAATAGATGTAGGAGACAGCCTCATCTAGTAGCCTTACGCTTTTCCATGTTCCCTAGGAAAGCCAGCATATAGCCTAAAATGTCATTCTTGAGTCTGTGAGCTACAATATAGGAAAAGTTATAAAATACAGTTCACCAATCTTCTCTCAGAAAAAGGCATAAAGTTGATTTCAATCTAATATTAAAGTTGAGGCAAAAGTCACTTGGGAAAGCAATCTTAACCAGAGATTACTTTAATTTCTGCAGTTAACTCCATTTTAACCCATCACATTCCTCATCTGAGGTCAGCTTCATTGCTGTCTCAGAACAACACGCACCATCAACAGCTTTTCCCCTCTGCCTCATAGCACTGACATGCCGCTTGAAGGCGTCAAAATTACTTTACTTAAATGCAACCTGCCTGGAAGCAGATTTGATCCAGGAAATGAATGAAGGCATGAAGCTCCACTGTGCTGACCCTGCTCCCACTGTCCTTTAAATTGCCCAAGAATACAGGGTCCATGCTGGAACAAATGACTTAACAGACAGAAATTACCCAAAGAAAGCCCAACGGCAAACATCATTAGCATTAGAGATGCTAAAGGTCCCTCAGGAAAGAGGTGGACCATTTCTAGAAGAAAGCTCTTGCTTAAAGCTCTTCCAGAGCCTCTGGAATTCATTTTCTTCCAGTGAGTAGCATACTTTGAACTGCTTCATTATAAAGGACTTCTCCAAGGCTACTGCCTCCATTCATTGAAATACAGAAATCCGGGGATGAATCCCATGCAAAGACAGTTTGTTAACTGCTTAAGCCAAGCAGTAAAAAGCAGCTTTCAGGTGAGGCTCTGGGTAGCTGCCATACAAAATTTGCACAATCACAGGATGGTTGAGGCTAGAAAGGAGCTCTGTAGGTCATCCACCCCCCTGCTCAAGCACAGACATCTAGAACTGGTTGCCCAGGACCGTGGCCAGAGAGCTTCTGAGTATCTCCCAAGGACAGAGATCTCTGCAGGCAACCTGTGCCAGGGCTGGGTCACCCTACAATGAAAAAGTTTTTCCCTCTGCTCAGACAGAACATTTGATGTTTGAAATAGCGTATCCTGGAGTAAGCAGTAAATAAAAATATTTATGGTGAATACCTGATATTTCAAATGCATTTTTATGGTTCTCACTGTCTTCTAGCTTTGTGATAGTCATTCCTGTCATTGGCAGTTTTCCCTAAAAAAAAAACCAAAAAGGCAGTAACACTGAGGTTAAATCCAAAATACACAAAATTTTACCAAGTAAAGAATACATAAACTTCAAGCTCTGAACAAAAGACATACAGAGTAAATTCACAAGCACACACACACTGATGGATGTAAAAACATTCAAAAATCCACACAAGCACTTCATAATGGAAGTTTTTAATATGCCCAAATTCTGCAAATGACACCTGTGACTTTGCTAAGTCTATCTGATACCTATACGCAGGCTATGAAATCCATACAAATGCACTAGCCGTCACTCATCATAGCCTCAGGTTCTTGAGACACAGACCTTCAGGGTCATCCGTATCACATGAGTAGAGGTAACGGTGACTCATCTTGAAACACATTTGTTTGCAAACTGTTTGAGTAGCTCTCAAAATAAGGTTTGTGGTACAAATAGAGTTAGAAAGGAAGATTTCACTAAACAAATGCATCGATTATTTACTGAATTTTTATGTCTCTAATAAGCCCACTACTAATTTAACTCACAGAAATATTTGGGTAAAAAACCAAAAGCAGTAAAAACACCTTTAAATTTATAAAGTTTCAGGAGAACATACTAATTTTGCAGAAGATAACCTCTCATTTTAAAGCCAGTCAAGCTGGAAAAAAAATGTCAGTTTAGGATAACTTTTTGACCCTTTAGAAACACAGAAGAATAAATAAGACTGAATATTGTCAGGATGAAAGGCTTTACCAAAACCGCAACTTTTATTGAAGTTTTGAGACAGATCCTGTATTCTCCTGCACAGAAACACTATTCAGCACATGCTGGCAAAAGCGCAAAAAAACTACGTACTGTGGAATTCTGGCTCCAGTGGAGGGAAAAGAAAAAAACAACCTTTTTCTTTTCTTTCCTAATGACTGCAGAACCAAAGGTTTCTTAGAAGTCTGGAAACTAAAAATCACTCGATATTCTGTATGCACAGAGCATGCTCAAGCCCAAGATGCCAAAGAGCAAGGAAGAGTGTTCTCGCCACAGCGTCCCTGCTGAAGGGAACACGGTGCCGTTTGCACTACAATGCAGCCTAAAATTCTCTCTCCTGTTTTTCCGTGTTTGTTGGTTCATGAATAACCCAGCATACAACCACAATGGAAGAGAGGCATAAGAACTGCTGACGTAGGTGGAAAGGGAATACTGGCATACACTACGCAAAAGACCGGTGACAGAGAACAAAGATCACCTGAACCACATAGAGACAAAAAGTACAAAGTCAGCAAAACACAGAGAAGATGGAATGGAACTTGTGAATCACCTATATTCCCTTTCTTTCAACAACTGTGAAGCCCTCCTGGGAAGTATGGTCTGTGCCCCTTGCAACTTCAGTTCATCACTGCTAAAAACTCCCCTCATTAGCTCTTGTGGCAGGTATCAGCACTATCAACCAGAAAATCTGAAGCCTGCTGACAACTGGAATATTCAGAGACAGAGGGAGGGTGTAGTGCCTCCAGTGGCATCATTTCCCTGGGAATGACTGAGGGAGCTGCATCACCTTCTGTCCACATCCACCTCAGATCTGAGACAAGACTTTCGGAAGAGACATCCAGGCAGCCAACGTTATGCAATCCAGACACGGCTCTGAGCCGCTGTCTCAGACACAAACAGCGATGAAGTAATTTTACCTTGCTGGGAATATGTCGTCATTAAAATCTGAGAAGTTCTCAGTGGTGGGAAAATCACACAAGAGGTTATGAGGAAATGAAGAGTTTTGCATTCAACAGAGGATCGGACGGTGAACACTAAGAAAGGGCTGTGGCCATACTGAACGGCAGCTAAAGACAAAGGCTCAGAAAATTGCTTATTTACTGAACAGTGCTGTGTACCTGGGGCACAAGCTTGGAGGGAGGAGGAAGAAACAGAAGTGACATACAATAGAACAGCAAAATAAAGCCTGACAGACTGTTTAATTTCATAGTGTGTGTTTGTTAACACACTAAATTTCCAGTCAGTTGCCTTTGTAACCAGTACACAAGAATCTACCTTCATCAGAAATTCTGGATGTGCCACTTGGAATACAGAGCTCACTTGCCTTTTCTAGTATCTTTTCCCATCAATGTTGGGATAAAGCACCAGCCAAAAATTCTTAAGAGCGCCACAAAGATAACAGAAAACAGGCTTGAACCACCCAACTGCAACGCTGTCTCAGATAAATACAGCTGCTACTGTGACAGGTAAGACATGAATCCAAACAGGAATTTTGGAATTTAATTGCTCTTAAAAATACATCAATCAATCAGTCACACGGTTTATGACTGGCTGTGGCTGATCACCTAGGAACGCCGAATGACTCAGTTTCAGCATTCCTTCATGGCACGCAAATCACTGCTCAGCAGAAAGGAACAAACCGCTCGAGAGCCTGATTCACACAAGTACCTACAGCAGGTGAAATCCCCGGCTCCTTTTAGAACTTTGCTGCCGCTTTTCCCTTGGTTTTGGTGTTTTACTGTGACGTCTGGAAACCACGCAGCAATACTTGGAGAACACTGATAAAGATTTCAGGAAGTCATGGACTGCGCATTTGCTTTAACTTCACCTCTCGGGGGTCTTTGGAACTACACACCCACAATGCAAGTGCTCCTGCGAATCGTGTCCTAGAGCTACAGGGGAGCCAACCCAACCGGCACTGATCCCCCCAGGCTAGAGCACAGCTGCTCTATTTCTGCAGCGGGGAAACCGGCACAAGTATTCGGCTAGGAAACTTGGCAGAGAGCTCAAAGACTGTGCGTACCAGCAGCGAGCAGAGGATTTCTGAAGCAAAAGGACCTGGTGCTAAGGAGCTGAAGGCCACATCGTACGCATTTCGGATGGTGTTACACTGGGCTAGCTCCAGGCTGGGGCCAGGGACTCAATGTCAGTCCATGCACTTGATCTGCCCCGGTAGTTGGAGCAGATCAAGCGCACTTTTGGAGCATGCCTTCCAGTCCAGCTTCATCCAGAGGGGATCTAGTCTGCAAGCCCCAAAATGACTTCCACACTGTGACTCAAAGATCATTAAAAGAAAAAAAACGAATATTCATTTCAAATCCGCTCTGTTGATTCAAAGATAAAACAGTAACGTAGACGCACCTAAAGAAATTGATGGTAACAGCCTATCTATCTCACACCCGTGAAAGCGTAAGAGCACTGTGCAATTTTGGTAAGACTCGAGCAGCAAAGAGCACTAACAAACCCGTACAACAGCACTGTTTTCCTACAGAGATCTAAAAAGCTACTGATACTTCCTCTCATTAGCCACCACTAACAAGGTAAGAAAAGCCCTCGCTAAGTCACAGGTGCAAAAATCAAACCTTGGGCTTCTAGCCCAGAATTTTATAACACAGATGACCAGTTCTTATTGTAGAAATTCCCTTTTGTCTTTATAAATGCAGAAGTTAAATAATCCTTCCAAGTTTCCTATGAAATATTATTTGGAAAAAAAACACCCCCAACACATTTATACACATATGCACATGTATTACTTTACCTGATAGATAAAGCCACTCATTCTCGGGCTGGCAGACAACATTAGCAAAATGTTAGGGAAGAGAAGAAGATACCTTTCATTCTTTTCCTTATCAAAAAAAAAGAAAATGAAAAAGTAAATACAACATCACCATCCCCCCCTTCTTCTGTTTTATATTATTAAAAATTACCATCAATGTTACAACTGTATAATTACTCCACAAATATTTACTCCTGGCAAAATTAACTCTCCATAGAATTAAAAAAAAAATCTTTAAAAAGCCTGAATTACTTGATTTTCTATTTGAAAACCGCTAGTAACCCATGCCTATACTTCTTCTTGGAGAGTACAGTTTAATATTGTAAAACAGAAATTTTACAGCCTGGGTGGAAATACTGACCTTGTTTAATACGGTAACAACTGCTTTGCTGATTTCAGCAAAATCAAAATTACACATTGGATATATTTCTTAATATAATTTTGATGGGGGGTGTTATGGTAATGTCAAGATTGTAGTCTCTCAGATTGGACAGACTAGATTTTTGAATGACACTGGATTATGCTCCGAAGTACAAAAAGAATACAGAAGTAATAATGACAACAAAAACACACATTGCTTTGTTCTGGTTTTAATTTGCCAGGTTCACTTATGAAGTTGTCCTTTGTATTTTTATTTTGGGGGTATTTTTATAGAAGGAGAAGGTTTACTCTTAATCTACTGCTATAGATAAACAACAAAAGAGAGAAGCATTAAGGTGTAATGTTTTAATTTTAATGACAAAGCAAATATATCCACCAACAAAGCCACAGTCTCAATTTGAGGCATCTTTGCAAACCAAAGTTTTAATGTTTCTGGTTTTCAGTAAACATTTACAAATGTCTATGTCATTTTAAAAGAGACAAAACCAAAACCAATTGCTTTTGCACAAATGAAGCTGTTCTATAGCTAGTCACAAAGCTGCGATGCCATGCAGAAACTTCTCCAAGTCCATCACATTTGACATTTGAGCTCATGATGAGAGTGGGGGGTGGGGTGGCATTTTGTTTTGTCCTGAAGACTACAAGAAGAGACGTGACTGCAGTAGATGCACTACCAGCTCTACTGAATCTTACCTAGTTTAACACCTAACAAAATAACCGAGAGAAAAATATCAGGTGACAAATTTTTAAATATTCAGTTGTATAAACACTTTTTCTGCATATTTACGGACACCTTTGTTCTAAGGGAGGAAAGTGACTGAATGAGGTTGCAATTCAAAAGCCTCCACCAGGTTCAAAGCTTCATTCGTTTTACAGGGGAACAACTCACAGTAAAAACAAGTCAGCGTCCTCTGCAACACTGCCTTTCTGTTAGCACTTGCTTCTGAGATTATCTTAACGTTCTTTCTGGTAGGACCACCTTTTCTCTGTGCGTTTTGTTTGTTAGGTTTGGTTTTAAAAATACCACCCCAGAATTTGCAGTGTCACCCTCAACTCTCTAATGTCTCCTCTCACTCTATTTCTCCAAAACCACTTGGTTCTCACGCTTGTATTTCAAAATTTACTACTTGAGCAAAGTGCCCAAAACAGCAAGGAAAAAGCCTCAGACACCTTACAACATAAAACTTCGAAGTTTTCGTTATTTAAAACACGCGGTAATAACTGCTAAGCAAAATGATCCTGTAACATAACTACACATGGAAAATCCTGTTTAACTACACACTTTGAAAATAGTCCTGCAAAATCATCTTACAAGGATTATAAATGGCATATTCGGTTCCGTTTCACTAAATTTTACTGATGAGACCCATCCATCTTCAAGGAAATTTATTTCAGGTTTTGTAATAAAAGCCTTAAATCAGCAGAGAAAGATTTTAGTCTAGATTAGTATCTCTGAAGCATTCCGTTTATTTCTGCTGCATAATGATTATAATTAATTTTATTCAAAACGGGAAGAAAGATGGACAGTAAAGATGAAAAGGACATTACCTCACTTCCAGCACACTGAATCATGACCTGGGACATGTAAATCACATTGCCAAGTGTTTTAATATCCTCTCCCTCCCAACAACGGATAGCTTCCGTCAGTATTTGTAGTTCAAGTTCTTTCCGTTTCCGTACTTCTTGACATTGTGCCTAACAAATACAGGGAAAAATACCATCATTTCTATCAACTCCATCTATCTGGAGCAGGTTAAGGGTAGTCATACCACTACAGTCGTATTTACCGTTGTGCTTGCAGTACACAGAAGACAGCACCTAACTTGAAGCATTCTCATTTAGATTACTATTATCAGTATTTCTTATAAAACTAATTTTGCTAACTTCAATATTATTACTGTCCCTTTCAATACACTGGCTTCAATTACCATTCCAAATTCATAGCCATAGCTCCAGTCTCAAATTTCTCCTTTCATTTTAAATTCTTGTACTTCAAAACCAAAAATGGCCAGGCTCAGCAGAAAAGAGTAACAGCTGTCACAAATACACGACTAAAGGAAGCATCTTTCTTTAGTAAAAAGAGCCACGCCAACTGTGCGAACTGTGGGTGTGTATAACCTTGCGTTCCTATTTTTATTAAACGTTTCCAATCTGTTCTGCTAGCTGTACTCCCATTCATTTGAATTTTTCTCAACAAGAATTGTTTCCTCTTGTTTGTAAAGCACCCAACAGAATGGGATCCCCAAACCTCTTCTGAACACAGACAACACTAAATTTCTGCTTTACAAAAACAGCAAATGCCAGATTACCACCAGCACACACTCCCAACAGGAAGCACAAAACACTGAGTCTATTGCAAGTGAGACTGCATTAAGTACACACTTGTTGCAGTTGAGGTGTGGTTTGGTTTTTATTTTTTTTTAAAAGACAGTAACAGACAGCTTATCTGTTCAAATTAGGCTTCCTGCTCCAATTATTACTGGAAGTTTCATATCTTCTGAACTTCACTAGCACTTTCCCCTTCATCCTCTCTCCCCCATCTCTAACACCATTCCCCTAAAAGGAATGCACTTTAGAAAAAAAGGCAGAAAACACACTCAAGTGTTGTAAAGCAGTCCTTCTTCAGGACACTAGTTACGCTAGCGCTAGTAGAAAGGGAGACAAAGTACGAGTGAGAGGACAGACCAACAGGTGCAGGATGCTTTGCGCGGCTCTTGCATCAACTGTCTATTTGCTAGCGCTCCCCAGCAAATTACCATCCTTAGCTCTGCCCACAAACAGCATCAATTTCCAGGCTTTCAAAAATTTCTTACACAAACATTCACAAAAAAGCTTCTTTTTTTTTTTAAGCAATAGAGGGGCGTGAAATTAGAAAACATTCTACTTATAATATATGATCTATTTTTTTATCACTCTTACAGAAAGATTTTTGAAGGCAGTCATGGATTTTTGAATATCTGGACGATCCGGATGATAATCCTAAAAACAACGGAGAAAACACACATAAAAACTTTAGTTCTAGTAAAATAAATACAAAATTTTTAGAGGCTTAACCAAAAACAAATAAACAATTCTGCAAAATAGAAGATGCAGACTGATACGCTCTTTTTTTCACAGCCTTCTTATTCCTATATCAAACACAGGTGGTCTTGCTTGTAGTAAAACTGAAGAGTCACTTACAACGTTCCCACTTATACTTAAAATAGAGCCAAGGAAGTTTTACAAGACCTAGTGGGTAAGAAATTTTGAAATCCTAATAGGAAAGTGTTTATTTTAAAGAGCTTTATTTGGCATGTTAGCTTTGTCACAAACTAGATTCCTTACAGCCGAGTATGTTCCATTGCCATCGACAAGCCAAATACTCATATGCTTTCTATTTTTCTCCCTCCTTCACACTCCAAAAATCAAACCTACAAAATGCAAAGGCAGAAACAGTAGCTCCTCAAACACCTTCCCATATTGGAAAGCCCATTTTTGGATAGTGTTCAGTAGAAGTCAAAGGGACTATTTTGGTGATGTGTTCGACGCATTGAGGTCCTAAGATGAGAAGCAGCACTCCTTCTACAAGTAGTTTGCAGAAAACACATTCAATGTCAAGTCAACCAAAGACCCTGCAAGACTGTTCTAAGAGTGAAGATCAGCTTCTCTGGCTAGTTTCACTTTAAACGTTTAGCTTTTACAGGAAGTTTTACTGCACTAAGGTTTAAACCATTGCAGCCCGTATTTTAGAAGGCTGACGGAAGAGCAAACAAATGTAATTTTGGGTCCCATCATGTTTGACATGTACCTTTAAAATAATTGTTGTCAAATCATCATTAAGCTGGAACATAAATGCTGATAAGATATACCTCCATGTGCCTTTCAAGCTCTTTGAGTAACGTGGGGTATTTATCCAGACGCATAAAAGGTTTGCTGAGGCCTGTGGTCAGTACAAGGATCCCAGGGCTGTTGGCACCTTTCATCTCCATGAATTCTCCTAGTTCCTCACTGTGTACACAAGATATTTAAACAAATTAAGACCAAATTACCACGGCAATTAAAATTACATTGGATTCTTCACTTCAGTCTTTCATCTGCAATGAATTTTGCCAATAAAACAAGAAGCCAAATAAATTTAAAAAAGTAATTCAAATACAACTTAAGTGCTGTGATCAGTTTCTGCATTAAATAAAATACAGGAACAAAGACATTTGCAGATTTGGGGTCCATCCAGGGAACAACAGACATAGGATCAAGCCCACCGTTCTAGGCAACTGATGCTCCAAGACAGCTCCTAATGCTACCCCATCCGAGCAATGACTACAGAACAAAGCCTGCTATATTTTATTACTCAGCTCTTTATTCTAGTAAAATGACATCTGACCTTAGAGGTAGTTTACACAGTGACTACACAAGCATAAATGAGTCAATGGTGTCGTTATTTAATCAAGGTTTGGTATTTTTAAGGTGTCAGGCACTAGTGGGAAGAGACAGAATGTTTCAGAATCTTTTTTCCTCCCACACTTACATGTTTAATGACCCCATCTCACACATCCAAGGCGTTACTGCAAAATGACCAAGTAAGCAACAGCCCTACAATAGCAGACCATAGTAGAAATAATTACTGTGCAATCCATTCTCAAATGAGTTAGGGTTTCACTGAGGGTGTACTTACACAACACGCTTGTTTTGACAGCAAAGCTGCAGTAAGAAATCCATGCTCTCCAGGTATCATGAGCTGCTGCTTCCCCATCCAGATGTTTTTTCATATTTGAATCATTTCCAAGAACTGGCCCAGTCCCTCAACTTTTTACACTAACTCAGTTAAAAAAAGCAGTGCATCCTGGGAATTTCAGCTCATTTTGCTATCAAGGAAACTTAAAATAGCTACATCTTTTACTTCCTCATAAAGCAGAGGTTTCAGAGGACTATGGTGGAGGAAAAGCTTTTCAAGAGTTTAAATGACCAGGAACAAAATGAGCCCCCTCCATGGGGAAAGGAAGGTATGGCCAATTTCCAGGCTTCAGAAAATACAAGTTGCCGAAGAACATGGGATTCTAAAGACAAAAATCTAAATAAAGGAAATTCAGAAAGCTGCTTATTAAAAAGATAACATCTTCCTGCATTCAAGCTGTGTCATTCTAGATGTCTGCAGATGGGGTTGCTGATGTTTTCAGCCTTGTTATAGCAAATTAACTAGTCCTCAAAAAAAAACCACAACAAAAAGCAGTACTCTCATGTGACAACTGGGTAAATTCTACTCTAAGATATCCTGAAAGTCCTTTCTTTCTACTGATTAATAGCACTATGCTCCCGTAAGTCAGAAGTACTACTTAATTTTTCCCCCCTCCCTGGTTATTGGCATAGTCTCATTTCGCAAGGGAAGCCTTAGCCAACTACCAGATTCAGTACTTCTAGAAAGTGTAAAACCAGTGTCAAACACCAAACAGCAATAAAGGAAGAACACTTGTACGTTATGGCCACATTAACACAAGAATCTCCAAACCTAGGGCATAATGTTTCCCTGCAGAAGTGAAAGCAAATCTTGACTCGCTCAATGTCCCTAGTCAAGAAGAACTGATAGGACACTGCCGTAACAGACAGGCTCAGTTACCAGTGAGTCATGCTATAGAGAAGCATCACATGGATTACGACAAAACAGACCTCCCTACCTCCCCCAAGACATACACACACTCCTCCCCGTTTCAGAACAAGGGACACTTTGCTTATTAATGTCCTTTGTCCAAACAGAGGAAGCGAGCAGAACACGAACTGCGAACTTCTCATCCCAGTATCAGTGCTTTACCCGCCAACCCACCCGGATCTCTCTCCTCCCGGCTGCTAAAGCCTCCTCAAGTTCACAGAAGAGCAGGTACTTTTCCATACAGTTTACTCCAATGTTTACTTGTCTTCAGACTAGTTAATTGGTCTTTACTTACACTACCTTGCTTAAATACATCCAGCAGCATTTCTGAAATGTCAGGTCCAACACAACCTTACGCCACCTCTCTCTGAGCACTCCACCCTCGTTCGAACCAGGCCCAGGCACTCCTCGGTGCGTGGATTTGTGCAGGTTCTGCTGTACTCAACTGCAGAGGTGAGAAAGTGGGTGAGGGGACTTCCCAACATCTGCTTTGCATTTTAAAGCTGCCAAGAGAAGGGCAGAGCACACTTGACTATGCCCACAGCTCCACCAGACCTTGCTACGACATGTGTCAGCAACTCCAGGCCCCCTAAAACCAGCTCATGATATGATCAGGTTTTAGCCAAAATTAAAACCCATTGAAAAAACCTCCTGCAGTATCCTGGGTGAAAAATTGTAACGCACCACGGATAAACCCGAGTACCTTTCTAGCTTAAATTTAGATGTAAGAAGTAAAGCTGGCCAACCCTCTGTACCTAGAGCCTGAAGACCTACTTTGCCTTATCCTTCCTTAGTCACAGCCCTAACTCAGCATAAAATCATGCCAAGTTCAGAACTTGACAACTGATCTGGTGGTACCCTACACAAGACTAAGGATTTTGACTCATGATTTGGTTTTACAGCGTTACCCACTACTTGCTCATCGAGGATTCAGGCTAATTCACTGAAACACGAAGCTGCATGGCTACCGTGTGGGGGCACGTCCTCTCCTCCCAACTCGGTTAAAAGGGAAGAAGCTGTTCCCAGCAAGGTACCGGGGCAGACAAACGAAGGTACGGTGCCCAGTTTCCACGGGAAGCTTTACCAGCGTTCGCCTGTGAAAGCCCTTCTATCAGAAGGCACTCGGTGGTTTTAATTGCAGTTCACTCTGTATATGACACCGATCATGTGCACGCCGCTGCTATTTTTGTTTTATCCATTAATTCTCCCTGAAAGCACCTCCATCCATGTCAGCATCATAAAGTTAGATTACATATGGTGCTCAATAAGTATCTTCATCTATTTTATTTTAAATGAAAGGCATTTGCTACAAGAACCACCAGGAAGTAACCGTTTCAACTCATTCTTTGCATTTTGTTTGCTTCAGCCAGACACACGGCCCCTGTCCCCATCTCAGGCAGCACAAGCCAAAGCCATACCTACACGGCTTCTCGCTTCTCCCCGACGCAGCAGCACGTTCCACAGGCCGTGTCAATCACAGATACCACAGCCCGTTCAATTTAACAGCGTTCTGAGCAGCGCTAATTTTTGCCTTCAGATTGCAAAGAGGGAAAAACCCCTGCTCCTAATTCCTTCGGCCATCTCCACGCAGCTGGGTGCGTACAAAACATTACAGAACTGGTATTTGCTGACCTATCCACCAACACAATGCTTGTGCTTCCCACCCACCCCCCTTTTTTTTTAATGTAATGCCTCTGCAGTAGGAGGAACATTGGTTACCATTTCACCCACATTCACATTTCCAATTTTCACTGTCACTGTTCCACTTCTTCCTGACTTCAGCATTATGAAATAGATGTGTGAGAACACAGGAAAAAAAACTCACTGTAGCTTGAATTAAAATCAACTACTTGGAAACCTGAAATAAAAACCTGATACTATCTTGTTTTCCCTACGTACTCTGCAATGCCTTTAACCAAACACACTCTGGTTATGCAATGTCGCAACAGTTTCCAGGCCATTCACTGCTCTCGGACACAAGATACTTGGTTGTTCATCACCTCCTTTTTACTTAATGACAGTATAGGAACCGACGGAGCAAGTTTAAATCCCAGCTCCCTTGAAATGTACACAAAGTCCTGAAAAACACGCTTAGCAACGGCATCATCAGGAAGCCCTTTACACGGAGCAATGTTAATAGGTATAATTAAAACTCAGTGACGTAGTTTCCCTCCCATCGTTCCCAAGAGGACAATGTTTTCTTTCATACACTTCTGTGCTTCCCTCTGACAAGTTTTGACATGCCAGCTTGTTCAAACTCCAATACGAACACACACACACACTCTTAATACAAGAGTACCCAAAATTCTGTCTGAGCAGTTCCATCGTGCAGACCCCGTCTGCAGTCTACTCATGCCAAACCAACCTGCTACCTCTGCAGCTCCATGGGCATCAAATAGCTGGCAAAATGGACATTACTTTAGTTCAAAGCTTAAAGTTAGTGCCCTTCATACATTCACAAAGGGCAAACACAATACAGAACATAATGGAAAGGTCTACTTTCAATAAAATATGGGTGGGTTAAAATACTGTTTGAGTATGACAACTGTTTTTTAATTAATAGCGGTTTAAAAGTCAGTGTCACTAGCTTAAGAGTGCAGCTGCTTTGCCAAAGACAATGGCTCTTTCATGTCACAATTTCAACTGATGTCTGCAAGTACCACACTCTCCTAGGCACTATATGCTACATAAAACTCTGGCCCACGGCTAAGCAGTACATTTTTCAAAAAGGTGTCATTTAGCTGAAGAGGAAAAACTTTTCAACGGTGAAATCGCCAACTTAGTCACAGCTGCCTAAGTAAGTAGCTTTTCAGAAAGACGCAGCTGAGATTTGCATTCACTACCTGCATCATTTTACAGATTAAAACAGAGAAGCAGACAAAAGTGCTGTGCCTCATTTATCCTGAAATCTCAGGCTGAAGAGTTCTCCCCATTCCAGGCTAGAGTCAGTTCACAACTTGAGATATTTTAAAGGTCACCATGAAAAGTGACTTTAAGCCCCACTAATATATTCAAATCTTTCTGCCTTAAAAGCTGCAAATCAGACTGGGGAGAGGGAAGAAAACATGTTCAGATGTGCCTACAGTAACAGAAGGGAAAAAAAAAAACCCACACACACATCCACAACAAAAAAAGCCATTTAAACTTGAGGAAAGCACATTCAGGAACTAAAACATACACGTTTAAAACCACAACTTACACTTCTGAAGCAGGTCTCTGTTTGTAATAGATGGAGCAGGAGCTATCACTGCTGAGGGGCCTGAGGACCGCGCACAGGCACTGCATTTTGAGAGCGCCGCGGCACAGCTTGGCTCAGCAACCCCGCAACCACAGCTTTTAATTTCCTAGTGCTAAACTTCCCAGG